GGTACAGTTTTACTTTTCTTAAATATTTCATTTCTGTGCTCCACTGGGAGCTCTAAGCTGACAAGTTTTCAGCTGGTCTTAGCTCCATCATGTGTCCCAATATAGTTCAGCAATCTACAGTTTTACTGCTGTGTGTATTTATTGATATAACTCTGGAAAATATTTAACCGACAATTTACCAGAATAAATCTTCCTGATGCTGGAGTAACTCCTTAGCTCAACTCGTTGTTTGCACTAATCCAGGATGTCATGGAGGTTTTAATGTTGAAATATAGAGATCATCTTTTAGATTATATCTGTGTGTGTGTGTGTGTGTGTGTGTGTGTGTGTGTGTGTGTGTGTGTGTGTGTGTGTCGTAGCTTTCCCAAAGGACTTGTTCTTTCCTTACCAGAGCTAACACGGTTAGCAGTTTTGCTGCAGTCGTGCTAACGGGACTCGTCTGGAGTCCAGAAGTAGCGGTGCGGTTCTAGATGGATTTTTAGATGTAGGTTATTATTTTAGATCAGACCTGTTATTTAAAAATGCGTGTAGGACACAGATACATGGCTCAGACCTTTTGCTGCAGCTGTAAATGCAATTTTACGTAATAATTAGGAGCATGAAAGTAAACAAATAACAGCGATTCACAATACTAGCATCAGCAGCTACCTTGTTTTACGTGCTGGAGTGACGTATGCGGAACACACTGGAGGAGAGGATTTGGATTTTCTGTAATGATTTATGAAAAAAGTCCTTAACAAAATAAAAAACTGAACCCAGTACATGTTTATATAGATGGTAAAGTGTAGTTGTTTTGCATTTCTACAATTTTAATACATTTAACCCTTCACCACTGAAATCAGCTTGTTCATTCCAGTCCTCCTAAATAATCCTCCAATCATCCAACTGGAATCCTTAAGGGTCTCATGCCGTCCATTCGGTCAGAATAGGCCTTGGGAGCCCAGGTGTTACTAGAACTAACGGTGTCTCCTCACCAGCATGAGCCTCCATACTGTGAAGGTTGGTCTCACACATTTCAAACACGGAACCGAGCCTGGTTACCGAATCGAGCAGAATTCTGATGACGTCACACCGGTGCGCGAAGGTGCGGCTTCTTTTGGTCAGTCTGCTCTTTCTGTAAAGGGGGCCAAACTTTGGAACTCTCTACCTGCTGACCTAAAACTAGAAACGGACAGTAAAGTTTTTAACAAAGAACTCAAAAAATGGTTAAAGTCTAAACAACAATGTCTACATGAATAGTTTTATGTCTTACAATGCTGCTCAAATTGCCTTGTTTTATTCTTTTAATTCTTTTTTATTGAAAATTGTTTGCAATTTTAATTTGTTTTCTGTTTGATTTATTGTTGATCTCTTTGTATTTTATTAAAAAGTACTCTACTTTTTAGAAAGGTTCTATGGACAAGTGTTGCAAATTAGCACGTGTGCTAACACACTAAACAATGCATCTGGTTCGTCCAATGTAATTGCTGTGTCCATGTCAAATAAACATCACTACTACTACCCACAGGAGAGGAGGGAGAGAGGAGGTAAACAGCAAGTTTAGCGGACTGAACCGATGTCTTTGAGCAGAAGTGTACACCCACACCTCCACGGTTTAGACGCGGCACTCATGCAGGTGTCTCTTTCAGTTCCAATGTTGCTACACATAATATTTTCTTTTTATTAAGCCTACAATATATTTTTACTCAGTAACGGATATGATTTAAAATGTAGCGAATTACAAATCTTATTTTAAAAACGTACTCAAGTAAAAGTAAAGTACAGTTTTTTAAAACGACTTAAAAAGTTTAAATATACAAAAAAAGCTACTCAATTACAGTAACGCAAGTAAATGTAATTCGTTACTTTCCACCTCTGATCAGTACTCCATATGATTAATGCTAATCAGATTAGCAAGAATGATTTACAGTGATTAAAACTTGCCGATTTTATAGAAATATCATCAACCAGAGTGCTAGATGACGTTTAATACCTCTAATCCTCTGAGGCTACCCTTAGCATGCATTTACTGTATCTGCAGCAGCATTACATTTAAACAAAATAATGTCATAATATTCCTTAAACTAATGAGAAGAATAACCCTGATCTAATTGAAGACATGCTGGTGAAGGTTCTCTGTCGTCCAGGTGATGGTAACCCAAAGGGGTTCAAATGAAGGCAACTGGACTTCTTTGGTTTCTTGAAGACGTCTTGCTTCTCATCCAAGGTGCTTTGTCAATTCTGACTGGAATATGGGAGGGTCAAGCTTATAAATACTAGATGTCTATTGTTGCTTAACGAGCAGAAAATACCTATGAATACCCCAACCCTACCTCCTGAGGAGTCGGAGTCATTAGTCTCTGTTGTGTGGGAATCATTTTGATTAGTTGCAGGAAGGTGTGACCTAGACAGGTATCGTGAATAGTATGAAAGTCCTCTAAACCTGAGATGGAGTGACCATGGCAACTGTCTCCCTCGTTTTGTCAACTCCACCTACTGGTTACTTATATATTGCAGCATGCGAATGTGTTGCGGTAATTTCAGTGGACACACAAAAAAGACTCTTTAAATCAATGCAAGTTACACGAGGCAGCCATTTTAAACATGTGCACACATTATTAAAAAGTATATTCTCGGGCTAACACCCTTTGTGCACGAAACGCGTGTTTTTGACAGAGCTGTTGAACAGGAAGCGAAGCTCGGTTCGCCGCCTAGCGTCACGGATTGCAAATCTGCTTTAAGGAGCTGTTTTGCACATTCTGTTCAGAGTTTGGACACACTAAGCTAGAGGGAGGAGGTTCTGGAAATTTAACCTTAACACCAGATCAGAAGAGCTGTGTGTCTGCTCCTGACATGTGTGTTGGAAGGTGGTGTTATACATGGTTTCTGCAACCATTCTGTGGAGCTTGAAGAAAGGGATTGGACCTTTGAATTTTTTTTTTTCAAAAAGCACCTTGCTTGAATTACTTTATCCAAGAAGGAATACTGGACCTTTAATGGAGGACCTCATAAAGTGCGTAATAAACATCACTGGAAATTGCAGCATCAGCACCATTTGTTTGTGATGAAGCTCAATTCTATTTGATGCTTGTTTTGGCAAATCAATGTACCAGCAATCACAATTTCTAGATAACCCTTCTGTAGTAAAATGGCTAATTTGGTAAAACTATGAATGAATGTTTTGTTAGCAGTTTTCTGTGGAAAAAAATGCTCTGGTGCACCTGTTTCTGGGGGTAGCAGTTTGTTGGAGGAGTGCATAGTGGTGGAGGTGTGAAATCTTACTTACTAACATGCATGAGATGCAAACATCTAGCCTTATATTGGCCACCGGCAACAAGAGTCATAATTACCGGTGGTTTACGTCTAGACACTAGTTCAAACGCCAGTCTTTTGGTGGCAGGCAATAAAAGGTTTAAATTATAGACATAAGTCTAAATTCAGAATTGGAACTGTTTCAGCTTTCTGCTGAGCCAACAAAAATTAAACAATTGTTGTGTCTCTAATGACATGAGCATTTAATGGCAGCACTTTAGAGGCCTTCGTAGCAGCAGGGAAACCTCTGTTTTGTCACTAAGTCGGACGGATCTGAGGCCAAACACGGCTGTAACTGAATTACATTAAAGAAATGGCTCCCTGCCAGCTCTGTTGCAGCATGATCAAATCTATGGCCATTTATTATAGTTAGCAAACACAGCGACACTTCAGACTAGCCCCTCTACTTGAAACACTCGATGACGCACACAGGAGAGGAAGTCAGTAAACGGGAAAACACACGAGTCACAGATCCACATATATGCAACAAATCTTTATAGCTGAGTCTAAATATTTATAATTAAGTCTACACATATAATTAGATGATGAAATCTAAATAAAACATGTTTTTGCACCAAACACGAACCTAACATGCTACCTCAGACTGATGTAAAACCAAAATAAAAGTGGGGTGACCCCCATATTCTGCCTCGGAACCTCTTTAATGGTAAGACTAGGTAAACACGAACATTTAACTGTTTTCCTGTCCTGCACATTCATAAATAATCTCCCTGTTATGATTAAAGAGACTCTGGGACGTTAGACAAGGACCTATTTACCCATTACTTCCATTTTATGGGCAGTCTGAATTTGCAGGTTAGCTAAATATCAGTTTAAAAATAGCCACTTTAATATTTTGATTTCAACCTATTTAGATTTGATTCTATCTGATCTAAGCAGCTGGTTGTTTATTGTGACTATCAGCACCTCCGATAGGTCTAAGACAGGGGTGTCCAATCCTGGTCCTGGAGGGCCGGTAACCAGCAGGTTTTGTGGTTTTTCTGCTTCAACACGCTTGATTAGCTGGTTGAATCGCCTGTGCAGCAGCTCATCAGGCTCTGCAGAAGCCTGTTAATCACCTGCTGATTGAAATCAGGTGGTGAAGCAGGTTAAAACGAAAACGTGCTGGATACCGGCCCTCAAGGACCAGGATTGGACACCCCTGATCTAAGATCAAAATGTTGTGATTCTTCAAAAAGTTTCTGACTTTCGCTGTTCCTTTGCAAATATACCGACTATTTTTATATGCATATCAAGATGGCTCATAATACATCTTCAGTGAGATACTTTTAGTGTCACACTCACAATCTGCAACAGTCACGACATGCAGATGCCTCTGACCTGACAATCAAAATGCTTGAAAAGACAAAAAACTCTTGGCATAAAGAAAACAGCTTCAGCTCATTTTCACTTATATCCATTTATGACAGTTTAGTTCAGAATTTGTAAATATTATGATATTCATTCACTTTAAGTTTGATTTCTGGACATCATCCCAGTTGTTGGTGACCCATGGGGACCACCGCTTTAGAAGTGTTATTACTGATTCACAACAGACTTCTGAATTGTTTTGGGGCAGGAATTACTAAAATTAAATAGAAAGACACGTTTATGCCACTACTTTAAGACCAATCTAATAAACACGTGTGTAACTGCACTGCCTATTATAAACAGACCCACCCTAATAAGCGTGATGGGTGATTTATTACCTTCAGAGCGCATTTCTCTCCTGACTTCTTGTTGAAACACTCCAGGACTTTCCCATTGATGCCCAGACCCAGAACCTGACTGGAAATCTTATAATCATCAGTCACTGCGTTCCGTTTGATCTCCAGTTTGGGGTAAACAGGCATGGGGAATTGTGTGGACCCGGAGCCCGTGGGTTTCCGGTCATCATCAGCTGGGGGGACCGGCGGTTTGGCGCTGACCGTCTGGGAGTCCGAATTGGTTTCACTGGTCTGTGCTGGCTCATCTTCCTTCTCGTTCCCATTCTGGAGCATGTTCACACCGACTTGTTGGCACCGGAGGGGTCCGTCAGAGGGAAAGTTCTACACGATGACTCCCAGCAGCAGAACCGGACCTCTAGTGTTAAAAACTCAACACAGCAGCACATCCGCACCTTCCGTCATCAGAGTCCTCATTGTACTTTTGTTTAATTACCGAACAAGGCGGACAACTTTGCGGTCAGAGCGGCTCCCTCTGGAAATAAACGTAGCGCGTTTGGATCAAATCCAGCTCGCGTAAAACCGGCCTTCAGACCCGGGGTGATCTCAGCTTCCAGTAAATGTGGAGTCCAGCCGCGCTCACATGGCTCTCTTCTGTCACGGTGCGCTCAAGCACCACCCCTCCTTCTGTCAAGTCATATTTCCACACCGATGACCTATGCGGCAGCCTTAACGCAACAAGGCGGTCCTCAAGGAGCTCCGAGGTATGGGAGTCCGTTTCTACAACTGCAGAGAAACTTAAACATTTAAAATCAACACTTTAACTTTATCTAAGCTTCAATGTCATAATTATGAGTCTCAGTGCCAATTTCAGAGAGTTTGAAAGCAATTATTATGAACTACAAAGACATGCTTATGAATTTGAAATAAATAAAATCATGAGCAAAAATGATAAAATAAAAAAATACAGAATAAGTGATTAAGCAAGTAAGTAATGTTTATTTACATAAACCCAAATAAAAAATCTAAATTAAACATCATTTTAAAAGGGAACAAATGAACATATATAAGTTTTAAACATTTAAAATACAATAGTTTGATAGGATCTTTTGTAAAAAAAAAATATGTTTAGAAAGTCATAAATATAAACTTATCTTTAAAAGTAACATCTGTAAACATCATCACAAAGCCACATTCTCCAGAAAGCAGACAAGGGCTTCCATATAGAGAACAAGTGAACCAAGGGTAACAGTGGAAAACATTAGTAGCTTCTTTCCGGCACACAGACAGCAAAGAGTAAGAGGAAGACACGGTTCTTTCCATTTAAAGGCCAAGCATCAAAACTTGAAGTGAAAGCAGAAACACACCAGTTTATTAAACAGGCTGTCTTTAAAAGGATGTTTTAGCTGCGACTGAATCCATGCTATGCATGAAAGTGTTTAATTTTACAGCAAGAGCACGGGTACTTCATAACCATTTTCAGAGTGTCAAATGGTGATTTGTGGTGCGGCTTGATCTCTGTGCAACAGCCAGTGCTAGATGCCGTTCTCTACAAAATCTCAAAGCAGCAGCTAATGTGGAATAGATTATAATTTGCTATAATGCTTCCTTTGCTGACCTGAGTTTGGTACTTCAGAGCAGACTTGTGAGCCACCACACGGTGTATTGGCTTTGTGCTGTGGGTGGAAAATGCAGAGGAGTACATTCAGAAGCTCCATGAAACTCGACACTAACTGGAGTCTATTTTGGATGGGCAATAAAACCACTTGGAGGAGACGGACACAAACACTTGAGTAACCCAACACTTACCCTGCCTCACTGCAGAAAGTGACACAGTTCAAAAACCTGACTAGACATTTTTGGCATTAATCAAAGTCTCAAACATTTTCAGAGTTAAGCTCAAGACTGCACCAACCATCTCTTCGAGTTTGTAGATGGGGTGGAAACTGAAGGTTGTGTGTTGGGATCAGCCAGATGACGTGCAAAACTTGGAATGAGCCAACCTGCTTTGCTACTCCAACGAGTCTCTTCCAGGAATAGAGCATGAAGACAGAGGCCATTTACATGTTTCTGTTATCTATGACACATACTCCACCACCCCCTGAGGTAAACAGGAAATTAACAGGGTCATAGGCACAAGGGGCTAGCATTTAAAGCACTAAAAATAATTTATGTTCATAAAAATCTTTGCTTTTGAATATAAATGTAATGTGAGGCTGGACCGTTTGTGACCTCAAAATCAAATCCAGCTGTGTCAATAGAGGTATATATTCTGGAAGGCTTTACAGAGAAACCAAAGGTAAAATAAACTATTCCAGTTATTTAGATGGAATTTGGAGATCCTGGAGAAGCGCCCCTGTAGGAAATTAATCTTCTGAAGATGATCTGACGCCAAGGAACCAAGAGGCCTTAGAGATGGAAAGGGCCTGCCTAGAAAGTAAAAGAGGTGGTATGGTTAGAGGATAGTTCAGTGCATTCCTAGAAATCACATCCTTTCCCACTGTGCAAAGACCTAGTTTGGACGTCCTACAGATGTGGGCTGGACAGACAGACTCAATATAGACATGATCTGCACGTCCATGACAAGTTGACTGTTTGTAGGGGCATTTCAGAAATACTATAGTTCAACAAATTAATATATAGAGCTGAAAAATAAATCAGACGACACTGTTGTTGCCTTCTGAGCCATAAAGGATGGATGCTCAGTGCTGTTATTTGGTGCGCATCTAGGACTCATTCCACACCCGAAGTTGCCCTGCAAACAGTCAATGTCGCATGGACATGCAGATCATGTCTATAATGAGTCCGTCGGTCCGGACCACGTCCAAACCAGGTCTTTGCACAGTGTGTGCAGAGGAGCTACCCTTTTATCAAATAGGGAGCCTAAGTCTACTTCCGGACCACGGGTCCACGGAAGAATGAAAAAATGAATGCAAGCCAACGGGGCTACAATGCTATTTTCTAAATCTGCTTGTTATGTTCCATGGATTTCACATATGATGTCCGTGAATTGTAAAGATGCATTTTGATACCAAGAACGTGCTTATTTTCGAACAGCGGGGAAACAATATTTCAGGTTTTTTGTGAAATAAGTCCAGGACTACAAATGCGTTTCTGTCATGGCCTGTGCTGAGTTTACCTCTGTCTGAGATCTGAGTCTTTCTGTTGCAGGTGGGCGTGTCCCGGAGAGCAGCTGTTGCAGATCGTCTTATCAGTGGTCAGGGGATTTAAGGAGCGGCGTGACAACTCACCAGTGCCTGATGATTACTCTGTATTGGGTTCCCCTCATCAACCAAAACCTCACTCTTCTTCAATACTCCTTTGGATCAACACTGCCTGCCAGCCACGTCGCTCGCCTCTGACCGCCTGCTCTCCACTGCTCACCTGCCCGACTGGACACATTTGGACTCCTGTTCTCCAGTGCTCAGCTCCCAGCCATTATCTCTGTCTCTCAACCATCCTGCTCAGCCAGACCTGACTTGCCCTCCTCTTGAGCTCCTAAAACATCCAGGAAACTGTAAACCTCCTCTCACTTGGTTTTGTTTACAAGTTAACTTCAAGATACTCACTCCTGTTTCCACTTCAGAATCTATCGGCGCCTCCAGACCTCGGATCGCCACATTCACCTCAACCAAGCATAATAAATAACATTTTTTACTTGCCTTCTGTCTCCCGTGGTGATTCTACGTGTTGTGGATCAAAAAGCTACACCCAAACATGACAGCTTCACGAAAGTGACGTCATCGAACCAGACACGGAGAAAACTGAGGGAAAAGCGCTGCAAGTGCAGCAAACTTCCCACAGGAGGAAAGAACCACCATAAATCTGGTCATGTGATAAGTAGCAGCTCAGTACGTGACAGGCGTGGTCGAAACACATTTTCATTTAAACTGCAGCACAACATATGTGCGATCCAGGGCTTAAGACAAAGCGGATCAGAAAATTGACTTGCATTCATGTTTTCATTCTTCCGGGGACCCATGAGCCGACCGGAAAGGGAGGAGCCTTAGGCTCCCTATGGGGTAAACACTGGGTAGGGCCTAGTTGGGCCACAAGGTCGCTGCACACAGTCCAATCAAAAACACTCAATAGGAGGATCGTTTGTGACGTCAATGTTTATGTTCCTCATATTGCATCCCAAGATTCGGTGGCAAGAAACTCTGTGTTTTGTTAGGTTCCTTTAGCTGTCCTTTTATTAACTTCAGTTTTATCTTGAATACCGATTTAAAGCATTCCTCTAACCCTCCTTCTGTCTTTAGACGGTAAAGTGTTTATATATTGGGGATTTTGCTCACAAACTCTCTTGAAAGTGTCAGTCGTGCATTGCTAGCAATGTGTTTTTGTCACACAGCCACTGGCCATTTGCACAAAGGTGAAAGATGTCACTGAAATATTTACATGCAAACATCTGAGAGAACAAAGAGATTTACTTGCATGAACTCAAGCAAAACAATCACTTTCATCTCTACTATATATAAATAAATAATGGTGCAAAAGTGGGACTGCGTTGGTGTTTCCTGGATGATTGTTTTTAGACCTATATTACCAACATCACTGTCTTTTGTGTTTAAATACTGTTGTAGTTCTAATAATATGCATAATTTATTACACAAACAATGCATTTGATTCACTACTTTGGATGAGATTTTTACTTTTTAAACAACCTTGTGCACAAAAAGCTGAAGGTCAAAGCACAGAATCTCTGCTAGACAGCAGAAGAGGAGTGGAAGATCATCTCTGAGTGCAGCGAGACACCAGAAGTCATCCTTCATACTGAGCAAACATCATCGGTCACATGGCCACCATAATCCATCCCTCTGCCTGGGTGTTGTTGAATCTGGACATGTGGAGGATAATAAGGGAACAAAGACAGATGATCACACATCCTCTGAGTCAGATCTGAGCTTACTTTCTGCTCACACTTCAGCTGTGTCAGAAAGCAAACATTTCTTTGTAATAATATTCTGACATGCAAGAAGGAACAGAAACATAAAGCAGGGCAGGAGGAGGGGGACCCGGAGAGAGGGCCGAGAGGGACCGAGGGACCGATGGAGAGGAGGCAGGGACCAGTAGAGTCCGGGGGCCTGCGCCTGGGGCAGAGGAGGCGACGACGGGCTCTCGGGGGCCTGCGTCTGTGGCAGAGGGGGAGGCGACGACGGGCTCTTGGGAGCCCACGCCTGGTGAGGGCAGGACTGGCGGTGACCGGAGGCAGAGACGCCAGAGGACACGTCTTTGACTTCTGGACTGGAGGCGGCGTCGTCGGCCTCAGGGCTGGAGGCGGCGGCGGCAGCCTCTGGGCTGGAGACGGCGGTGACGAACTCAGGGCTGGAGGCGTCGTCGTCGGCCTCTGGGCTGGAGGCGGCAGTGACAAACTCAGGACTGGAGGCGGCGTCGTCGGCCTCTGGGCTGGAGGCGGCTCCGTCGGCCACTGGGCTGGAGGAGGCGTCGTTGGCCTCAGGGCTGGAGGCGGCGGTGCTGGCCTCTGGGCTGGAGGCGTTGGCGTCGGCCCCTGGGCTGGAGGCGTCGGCCCCTGGGCTGGAGGCGTCGTCGTCGACCTCTGGGCTGGAGGCGGTTCCGTCGGCCACTGGGCTGGAGGAGGCGTCGTTGGCCTCAGGGCTGGAGGCGGTGGCGCTGGCCTCAGGGCTGGAGGCGGCGGCGCTGGCCTCTGGGCTGGAGGCGTTGGCGTCGGCCCCTGGGCTGGAGGCGACGTCGTCGACCTCTGGGCTGGAGGCGGCTCCGTCGGCCACTG